AACAGGGAAGACACTTACTTTCAGTGTCCAAGTCGAGGAATGAATGAGGTCATGGGGGAGGGGGTCACTTAGTCTTTTATATAAATGTTGAAACAAAGCAGTCGGCTATATAAATGCTGAAATAAAGCAGTCGGCTAGGAAAGGCTTTTATAGAACAGTAAAGGAATGGTTTGGGAAATTTCAAGTAAAAATTCCAATTGAATACCTGGGGATGATAGGACCGAAGAAATTTACCTTGCCATTTTGCCCTGGCTGCAGGGGACTTCACTGAATTTCGCACACCAAATTAACCCCTGGTATGCCCGAGGTGGGGGTCTCGAATTCTTGTGTCATATTGGATGAGATCATGAATTTACACTGTTTCCTGTCAACAGTTCAGAATAGAATACTTATTCTGTTGACTTATTGCAAATCTTGTAAGAATTGAAATTATAAAATAAACTATTATTATTGACAAAACTGAAAATTTGTATATGTATATGCAGGCTTCTAGCCAGGAGACACCCTATCATGTCTGTATAAAAATTGATTTTAAACAAACCATTACAAAAATGACATAAAAGTTGCTTTGTATTCTGAAATTCTGGTTTAAGTCTCCTGCTATAGATATATTGAACTGGAAAACTTTTCATATTTTTAATGTGGAAATGTGTAGTAATATGTTGATAAATCAAATTTTAACCCCACCTCCCTTTATACCATCACTCAGGTATACATCCTGTTGTGGTGGAGATTTATATTGGACACCTGGATAGATACTAGAAAAGGCTTAGTCACACTTCTGGATAATGAGGGGGCAATGAACTCCCTGATGTGAAATTGTAAGAAATTTAAAAATTGACCAGTGATAACTTGACATTATGTAAGGGAGTCAAATTTGCTAACATTACCCTCCAATCATTGGCTATCCCATTTGGCCTCAAATGATTTGACCCCTATCTGAAACAGAAGGCACACTTGCATGTAGAAAATATATTGGAATGCAGAAAATATTGCTATACTTTAATCTGAAAACAAAAATTTCCCTGAAACAACATACATTGGGCCATACAGTCATGCACATAATTTTGACTGTCAGATGTATATGACAGTCAAAACATAGCATTCAGGGCTCAAGACATATTAGGTTAATTATTTTACATAATTATTTTTCTTCATTTGCCACGCATGTAATCTGTGAAGGATTCAGAATTATCCGGCATGGAAATAACGTTTTAAACGTGCTATATAAAACGGTGTTCAATATTCATACTACATGATGGGCATATGGCCAAACAAACACCTTGTGCTTTTTTGCTCCAATTTACGCACGCATGATTTTGTATATACATAATATAGATTTAAATCTAGCAATTCAAATCCAAAACTCATGGGGTCATGCATGACATCTATCTATAATTTATATTTTCTTGAAATGTTAGGTGATTCATTGTTATTGCAGTTGTTGTAACCCAGTAAACAGACACACACCGCCGTTTAGATATGTCACATGTCGTTCTTGTTCCTTTATACAACATACGATAGACGATAAAGCTTCGAATTACTTCTCTTTAATTTCCAGTCCAGCTTTGTCCAATCTTTGAAGTGACTTTACAAGCGCGTGTTGAAACAGGATCTGTACAAGAACCCATGATGTTTCGAATCAAACCACTTCGAGCACATTTCGACTCGATCATGTTTACATCATACATGAAAATTGATACATGTAATACGAGACCGAAATATGGTTGTATTTTGACGCATATTAACGATATAACGAAATATAAAACCCCAATATGTATAATTCCATTAGGTAGTCTGCACATATTCCCTTGATGGTGGAAAATACATCGAAACAAAAGAAAAATCCAATATTTTCTTCTCGCCAACATGTCTCCACTCCTCAGTAAAAATTAATGCACAGTCAGCATTTTTTAGCTGCAGCAGAACGCGTTTACTTCCGGAAAACACCAGAATTTGTGGTGTTCCGGTTTGGCTTGTCCCAGGGCTTACGGCAACGCAGGCAGCCGAGAAGCCCTGGGAACGAGGATGCAGAGAGATAAATCAAGCAAGTCTTGAACTCACTCGTACCCAGTCTCTGAACGAGGATTGAAAAAATAATGTGCATGATGGGAACGTTGAACGTAGAACCAATGATCTATGTACTCATAAGCTTGAACGACTGGGTACGAGTCACAGACCTAGAAAAAAGTGGGATCTCGGGATCCTGAGGAACATTTGCTTCAGCAACAAGATTGAGGAACATTTTGAATTTTTCACGCGTACTGTAGGGGAGAATTTTAAGGAATCATATTTAGTTATCTGCCTTTTGAGTCTATTTTGAGATTGCGAAGTGTTCTTCATATCCTGTTAATAGAATTTGGAGATTGTTTTGTTTGCTCAGCAATTTTACAACCAATATACAAATATAATTGAGGAACATTTGAAGAAGGCAAATTCAGGATCCGAGGAACATTGAACACTTTTTCCAGGTTTGACGAGTCAGAATCTTGAAGAAGCAGTTGAAGAGGTGAAAGAAACAAGTCATCGCTGTTCGCCGGGCTCATACGAACGTAGTCTCCTTCGCAGGCATTCTTACAGCACCTTTTTTCTTCTTGATTTAAAAATCAAGCTCCTTTTTAGATTAATACGACACAAGTCACAACAAAAACAAAAGTTAAACGCTTGTCATTATCCTATTTACCACGTTCAGTGTTAACTGAACTGATGCTATAAGCCAAGTATTGCGAACACTGGCTATCTTTACATTTAAATGCACTGTTTTAAAATATACAATTTCAGTGAAAAACCTATATACAATACCAGGCAAATTAAAATAAAGCCATTGTTAAGACGAGTCAATGTTCAGTTTATATGTTTCCATTTATAACATCCGCGCAGATCAAGAACCACCATAGCAGGGCGTGGCAACGTCTTACGGAAAAATCATCAAACCTTAGTCTTTTGTCCATGATTTTTCCGTTTCTTTACAAGCACCCAGAAACGAGGCGGATAATTTCATCTCATCGTGTGGATGCTGCAGCGACGGGGGGTTGCGGGCAAGCTGTCGCGACGGGGAGTGCGGGCAGACGTTAGTCTTGATCTATCTCGGCAACGACCCCATATGATGTTCCCAATTTTATTTCGCATATTTTGGAGCACTCTAAAATTTGAAGCCTTCTTCAGGGATGTTATCGCGCGCGTTAAATTGCAATCCTCCATCAACTTCCTGTGGTGCGAATTCTTGTTCGTCGTTATCACCCTGTGCAAAACACAAAACATACAGCGATTAGACACAGGGTATAGGGGAGACATCACCCCCCCCCCCCGTCCTAGTTCTTTCCATGATCAAGTTCCCAATTCGTTTAACTCGAGGAAAAATATCGAGGCAATCATGCATGACAAGAATTATGAGAAGTATAAGGTGACCTGTTTTGCTAAAGGGAGACAAGGATAAGTCAATCATGAATCTTCACATAGAATACAAAATGCAGGAAATTACACTTCAGTGGCTGTAGATTTCAAAATTGTCAGGGTAGTTTGGGCATTGAACAAACTTTGATAGGCCCCGTTCACATGAGACGGCAGGATGAAATCTAAGGGAGAAGCTTTTGTTTTGGTCATAGTATTGTTCTACTTGCCGAGATCGCGTTAAAAAAATGCTCAGAACGCTTGACGTCTTCCCGGTATAAAGGCCAGAAGAAATTCGGGGCGAAATAAATGTAAACACAAACTATTATAGAGCGTTTGCACTCATTTCTCATTTCCCAGGGACCAACTCAACAAAAGCCATGGCGGCCATGTTGATGTTCCAGACAAAAGAGTCTAATTAAAATTCTTTTGAATTGGAACACCGACATGGCGGCTGTGACGTCATGCGTAAACGCTCTATTGGGGTTGATTTTAATAACACGAACTGTAAACAGGATTAGCAATAATGATTGTTGAATGCTGATTCCAATGTGCAAACATACTGCCTAGTTTCGTCCCGCTCTTACCTCAAAACACTATTGCAAACAAAACATTTGGAAAAACACAAAGTTGCCTGAATAAATAAGTTTTAATTGTAGGTTCATGCATGATGCTGTTGTAGTTTCACCTACCTCGTTAGAGAAGAATCTATCAATAATTTTATACGTGAGTTTATATATTTCTTCATTTTCATGCTGTTGTAGTTTTTCTATTCTGTCCAAACCTGAAGAAAAAGAGCAATTAATACTTTACGTTCTGTAATTTCAGTGCACTAGTTGACAGTCGCAAACAGGCCGGCTTCGGTACTGCAGAGGAAATACAATAGGGCCATTTATACGTGACAAAATAAGTCGCGACTTACATAAGACGCGACTTAAATAAGTGGAGTTATCGCATAAATGGTTCTCTACGGCTTTGGTCTTATTTATTTGCTATAGCTATAATGTTGTTTTGGTTGTTTTTGTTTTAATATGCAAGGCATTAAATTTTACGTTGTTTCAAGTTTCTGGCATGTGTAGTTAGACTTTTTGTTCAAAATTTCTTATTTAAGACGCGACTTAAATAAGAACAGCTAAAAGACCTGTTCTTATGTAAGACGCGTCTTATCCAAGACGCGTCTTACATAAGAATTTTGTACCTTTTATACGACAAACTCGCGTCTTACCTAAGTCGCGTCTTATTTTGTTCCCTATAAATGGCCCTATTGTGACTGGACACACTGAAAATGGTGACTTACCACTGACAAATATTCCCCATACGTGATTCTTTGGTATTTACAGTACTGTGCAGAGGTTTTAAGTCACCCTCGAAGGCTTAAATACCAACGAATTCCGCTTAAAAAATGTATCGTCTTCTAAAGCATACGTTTCGTCTTATGTTTTTTTTTTTGCATTTGATAGCAAGAAAACACTGTATGTTTAACAGAGTAGTTTTTTAAGGCTTTGTTGTTGCCAACACTGGGAATAATTTTATGAGAATTTCAACTTTGTTTCCATGTTTTTCTTGATATGTGAACGTTATTTTCCTCTTTACTTCCGAAATATTTTTGCGCATTTCACTCAAAATATATGTTCTGGCTGTGTTTCAAATACACAATATGCGTTTCTTGACATTAAAGCCGTTTACTACAGATAGAGACAAATACTCGCCAAAGACGAAGCTCCCCACGTCATGCAGAGCGAGTAACACATTCACTTGGTTTGAGAGGAAATGCGACTACAAAGCCATGACCTAAACTCCATTGGGCATTCTTTACAAAGTAATTGAACAGCCAATTTGGTAAATGGATGATACCAGTACATCGACATTTCTATTGCGTTGAAGGCAATTAAAAAGTTGAAAAATGCGCAGAAACTATTTTGAGCATGCCTGGAGATTGATGAATGATGATTAGTCTACGCCAATGGTCTATGCTTGACGCAGCCATTATTGTAACTCGAGACTTAGATAACTGGTTCTATCTGATTTTTGGAGTTGTTATCCAACTCCAGGCCTAGAAAGATACTGTAGCTCCACATGAAGGTAGCTCCACTGCCTTCACATGATTGGCCTGTAACTACCGAGTTCTTTTAAAATACATGGAGCTCCATGGCTCCCCCTAACTTCTGTGGCCATGATTTTGAGGTGACCTAAAACTTCTGTAAAGTACTGTAATAGAGAGGTTCAGATTTGACTTTCACCACCTCTCACTGGCTTACTATATAGGCATCTGATTGGCTGATTCGGATAAATCAAACGCATCTGATTGTTTAATGGTCCCTTAATGGTGGCGGTAGCGGTAGTCAAATCCAAACCTCTCCATTATCTAACACAATACCATCAAAACCTTGGCATCGACGGCTATTGACAATCAAACATGATAAACATGATATTTTTCACGTAATAAACTTTACACCAACCTCCAGCTTCTTCTATCATTCTCGCTATCTCATCACTGTCGTCCCCAGCCATCTGCAAGGAACAACATTGTTGTGAGTTAAATCAGGGGCAATAATTTTTGAAAGCCTTTGAACGATGGCTAAATAACTGGGTAGCAAAACTGTAACAATAATTTTTCAGCCATGAAAGTATTGCTAGGCTGTAAATTAGCTATATATGACATGAAATTTAAGACAAAAATGTTTAAAGAACTCTTATTAATAATAGTACTATGTTTGCCCCCAAATATTTCGCCCGCCACTGCTACCTATGGGTGGGTTTCACTCAAGACTTATACATAGGGAAACCGCTTGGTGGTCAACTTTACACATATTGCCGCTTTATGCCTTGTGGAAGCAAGTACATTTCGTTGAATGGACCATTTGCATTATAGACTAAATTTTGGTCTAGACAAAAATTTCATCACAGCTTGAAAGAGCATCACAAAATTAGTAATATTCCAAAGTTTCGTTGCGAAATGTTGTAAAATGCGGATAATATATATAACCTTGCGAAGTTTGCAATTTTCAGTTATTTTGTACATATTACAAACGGGAAATTGATGCACCAACACCCGATTGGGCTGTCAATTTCCCGTTTGTAATACAAAATGACTGAAAAATGGCAAACTTCGCAAGGCTATATTATCCGCATTTTACAACATTTCGCAACGAAACTTTGGAATATTACTATTTTGTGATGCTCTTTCGAGCTGTGATGAAATTTTTGTCTAGACTTGTCTAGATCAAAATTTAGTCTATAATGCAAATGGTCCATTGCATATATTTGATACCAAACACAAGATCAATACTTATAATGAATATTTAACTCGATCTGATGTGTTTCCATCTGGAGTTGACCATGCACCAAGCGCTAAACGTATCACGCGACTGAAACCCAGACATTTCAGATTTTATTGACAAATATCGCATGTAAGTTTTCAGATTTTATTGACAAAATATCGCTAACAAATGTGTAAATTCACTTAACCATTTCTCTCGGCATACTAGAAAAAGTAATCTACATGAAGTAAAGGGGAGAAGTTATTAAACTGCCATCACCCATTTTTTATTTTATCGACGTAAAGTAGAGCCTTTACAGGAATACACGTATGTCCATTTTGCATGTATTGTTTCCCGTATTTTTTATAAGGCTTGAAACTGCAAAATAGAGCACTTTTTCGCATTTGTTCCAGCGAAATAATTTCTCAAGAGATTGGGCCTTGTGACGTATAGCTGGAGTGACTCGTGTTTGCAATAATTTGCAATTTACATTTACATGCATCTACACCGCAATTCTACGCTATTGAAATTATCTGACTTTTTGCAAGAGAATATACATGCACAATAGATGCACGGAATAAGTGAAAATACGGAAATCAGATTGCAGAATCATCCCACCTTTAACATATTATGGAGACCATCCAACACAACTTGAACGACCTGAAGAGATAAACATGGTCAATCATCAGATCTTCAACACAATACGACAGGAGTGTGCAATTCATCCGGATAGTTAAAGTACAGCAGTTTAAAAATGACCCATGCATGTGAATTATCATGATTATTATCCCAAGTATAATTTACTGTTTCATATATATTGTTTCAGCTATTCAGTTTGCTGAATAATTTTACAATTCAAACCACAAAATAACAACTATATATATAAGTTCAATGGAGAACAAACTATTTCACAATTCATTGCATGCCTATGCTCAGTGCGTTAGCGTGCTGAGTACTGACAATATTGCAAGCAATGGTTAAAAACGTTAAGGTTTTGCACAAAACACGCATATACCGTAAATCCTTAAGCGCAGAAACTAGAATTTAAGGAAATACAAAATGACAAAACCAGGAATTAAGATAACATACCTGTGGATCCTTGACATCTAGTAGTTTGCAGAATGAAGGTATTGCATTTGCTTGAATCAGAACTGAAACCTAGTTAAACAAAGATGATGAAGACACAAATTAAAACATGACAGACACACTGAAGTATGAAATACCAAGTTGCTATATATACAGCAGTTGTTAACTATATAAATCCTCGGCATTATGCTGACGCTGTCTACTACACAGTATATGTTTACCTGTTGAGGACTACCACTGATGGTTAGATTGCTTACTGCCCAGGCAGCTTCTTTCTGTGTTTGAAATTCACCCTGGACAAAAACACATAGCATGGATATGATATTACGGTATTTATATACTTTAAACAGAATCTGTTCTCCTTAAGGCCCGTTTACACTTGCAATTTTTACCGCGATTTCTAGTGCGATTTTCTCCTTCTGATGGATGTGAACGAGTAGATGAGTTACGAATGTTCGGAGTATATGTACCCTCATCTGAACATTCATAACTTATCCACTCGTTCACATCCATCAGAAGGAGAAAATCGCACCTCAAATCGCAGCAAAAATTGCAAGTGTAAACGAGCCTTTACGATACAAAGTCTCGTCCATAGTTGTAAACATCAAGGGCCAAGAGCCCAAGAACATATATGCATGGTTAATAATTACCTAGTATGACGCTAAATAGATCGATACATTCGATCTATTGAGGTCCAAAGTATATATTGCCGTCATGTATATTTTTTGGTAAGTCCACAACATGTATACGGTCTACCATGTTGCTTATGACATTGCAATTTGCAACTATCCACCAAAAAACAACCGTAGACGATTTCTATATATACTGAACGATTCAGGTAATAAAATAGTAACTGTATTGAGTTAATGTGTTTCCATACCGTTTCCAAAGCATCAATTATAAGAGGAATAAGGTTTGCATCAATAACTTCCTGTAACGGGAATACAAATTTCATATAGTTGCATTACTCCTGGTGGGTTAATAAATATATCCGATATAATATTAGAAGCCAATTTTTGTTTACCTGTACTTGAACTCGATTACCAGCAGTAATGTTGGACAAAAACCACACTGCTTCCTGGATAAAAAAAATACGAGATCATCAATTGATCAGAATTTTAATATTTTCACTAGCTCAGTGGTCGAAATTTACATTAGTTTCGGCTATACAACCGGAATAGTGGATTTTGAAATTTATTATTCTATCTGAACATCCAGTATTCCTTTATGTCTCAGAGGGCCGGCTCATAAGCTAATGCATTCAGCATTTGTGTTGAGTAAATATTAAACATAGCAAATATTTTTGTTGTTATCAGGGTTAATGATTATACACCAAGAATCTACCAAATGCATTTCACATTGTGGTTTGTTGTTCTATTTAAAGTTGTTTTTGATGACACAAACTGCAGAGTTTTTTTCAGGATTTTCTCTTGGGTCCGTTTTTGCAGAGAAGATTGAGTTTAGCTGAACAGCTGGGATGGTTGCACCCCCCCCCCCCCCTACCGGGGGGCTGACACCTGTACTCAATCAATGTAGTTGAGACGGAATTTGTTAAAGCAGGGGCACTAAGGGACACTATAAACTGGTTAAAGATGGCGAATGCATAGTTTTTCTTGTGTTGTGAGATGAATTCCAGCCATTTTTTCTTAATTGTCGGGTTTCCAACTGAAAACTAATTTCCACACGTCACGAATTTAACTCAAACAACTTCATTTTTACTGCACTGAACTTTGGTGAGAAGATTGAGTTTCAAAACTCAATTCAAGATTGAGAAATCCCTGAAAAAAACCCTGAACTGGTGCCAGTCTGTTATGTACCAAGGTTAATATGAACACAGCAAAATAAAAAAAACAAGCGAACAAAAACTTTCGAAATGGAAACAAAATTTGAGTAAGGCCCGGTTTAGACGGCGAACTTTTTATGCGCCGAATCTAATGCAAGGATTAAGTGCGACGTTGGAGCGGCGCATGCCTGTAGAAAGTAGGAAGTTATGGAGCGACGCTACCTCCAAGCTCTAAAGGGCTAACTCCAAACCAAAATATACACTTGAGTAACTTGTGTAATTCAAGAGTTGAAATATGAATTCTGGAGTT